AAGATAATTAGATAAAAATAATTCAAAACTATATGATAAATTATGTGATAAATTATAGAGTAAAAGAAAAAGAGAGTTTTTTTTTTATAATTAAAGAAAGATTATTGAATTAAAGAAATTTATGTTACTATGGTAACAATATATTTATCAAATCTAAGATAATTTGCTTGTGTAATTTAAATTCTAATATTATAATTAATAATAATAATATTTAAAATATCTTTTTTTTTAAAAAATAATTTTATTTTAGTTTTTTTTAGTAAAGTAATACTTTATTTATAATTAAATTAAAATATAATAGAATAGTTAAAATAATATAAATAATTAATTTAGATTATTTTTATTTAATATAAAAAATATAAAGATTAGTTAAAATTTGAATAATTTTTATTAGAAGTAATATATTAAGATACAATCTTTTTATATTAATTCATATTTATTATTTTTCATTCTTCTTAATAATTTTATAAGTAATTTTTTCTTTATCTAGATATTTTTGAAGAGTTTGAATATTATTAAAAATATAAATTATAACTTTTTTTACTCTTCTCTTTCTTTAAAATACTATAATTCTTTGATTTCATAATAAATTTAATATAAATTAATTTTATATTTATATTTTTTTATATAGAAATAATTCTATATTAATTATATTACAAATTCATCTACTTTAATATTAGTCACATTCTGACATAATATTAATTTAAATTGTAATTTACATAAATCTATATACAAGTATGATAATCAAATAATCAAAATGTTATTAGTTAATTTAGTTAATCTTCAGACACATCAGTCTCTTATTTGTATCACATAATAGAATGTTCACTTTGTCTGGTTTTTAAGTACTTTAAAAAGCATGTATAGAACAAAAAAATTACGAAGAACTGATATGCTCAAGAAAATTTAAGATCATTATGTATTATTAATATGCAAAGATATTTGATATAATGAAAATAATATATTGAAAGTGTGGCTTCTATTTTTTAAATGGGCAGGAATTTGGATAAATTGGAACATGCTATACCATTTCAAATTAATATATCTATCGAAAAATATCATTTCTTTTAATATTAATTTTTGCGAGGGTAATTAACCAGAGCATAATGATAAGAAGGTTTAAGAATATCGCATACATTAAGACTTATAATATGGCCTAAAGAATTATTTAATTCTTTTGTTTTGAAAAATTCTTTCATGTGTTTGCATTCCTATTGATTAATTAATAAAACGAAAAAAATCGAAAATGGGAAGAATACCCAGATTTTTTGTAACAATAAATAGATTGGCTATAGCCGAAAGAAATGAAACACAAATTAGCTCTTTTTTCAACAAATTCCATTACAAACTTAAATCTCCAATAAATACAAAATTATATATCCCTATTATAAAAAGCAATAAAATGATTCATTAATTGTGATGCCGTGTTTTTGTATTATTCAATCGTGTCCTTTCTTCTTCATCTTCGCTTGTTTCTTCACTGGAAGATTCCTCATATGTATCTTCATCTTCAGAGGAATCACTCGTTTCTTCATCTTCTTCATCTTCCTCGTCCTCCTCACTTGATTCTTCCTCTTCGCTTTCTGATGATTCGTCAGATATTAAGTCGTATGATGCAGCTTAAAAAGAGAGTATATTATGGTTGAGGAATGATCCAAACATCAAGATTTATCACTGCGAGAAAATATAAAATACCTGACGCTTTGGTTAATTCTGTTTTTTCTCCATCCTCTGAAGCATCTGTTGAATCGTAAAAGTTATCAAGATTATAATTATCTCTTTTTGTCTTATTCTTTTCGAATGCCGAGGATATTGGAGCTGAATGGTGTTCATAAGTGTCACTACTTAAACTTTTCGCGGCCTTGGATCGCTTATACGATTCATCTTGCTATTCGCGAGTAAAAAAAACTTGGATTATTAATCGAATCTATCTTAATTTATATATGATTCATGAATAGAATAAAAAACGTACCGAACTATCTCGTAATGAGCCATCTGGTTTTTCTGTTGGCCAATCGGGCAATGCCTCATAGCCGGGTATCGAATGATTCAGTACCAAAGACATCGACCCAATAATAAATCTGTCACGTCCTGTAAATATTTATTAAGCAATTTTTATGTCAGATATCTTGAAAAAGTATGAATATCATAAATAATAAATACAAACCGGCGGATGGACTTTCTTCTATAGGCGCTTCCTTTTCACCCAAAAGTATTTTTTTCAAATTATCTGTCAATATTGTACTTTTATATTCATTTTCCTCCCCCAAAATTTCATCGGCAGTATTAGTACCAGAACTGGAGTTTTCCTTGTTGCCATTAAGTAAAATCAACCCTCTTAATAGACGCGCACGATCTCTAATATCATAATCCAAATCATATCTTGCCAAATTGAGAATATATTGAAATAAAAGTTTGAGTATAGGATCATTTGGATGAAAAGAAATTAATTTAGCACCAAGATTTAATGTCTGTAGCTTCACAATATCGTCTTCATTAGGGAATGATTTGGCAGCCTTTCGAAGCACATCAGGGGCAATTTTCACTAAATTTTCTGAATATTGACCAACAAGCCATAATATACTAGCACGAGCCCTCGGCACAGTTATTTGTTCCATTGATTTTATCAGCTGAATAATCATGTCAGCATTATCTTGAGGCCTTAATTGTAAAAGCCTTTTGATGACCACAACAGATTCAGCAACGACCGAATCTAGAATCGAAAATGATAAAAGGTTACTATTTATTTTTTAATGCATACAGCATATTCAATCTTGACAAACCATTTTTACTCCATAGTAATTTCATTAATCCATTTAAACAGCTCTCTGCCATTTCAGGCATCTCTATTGCACATCGTCCGATTGCTTGTATTGCAGATGTTGCAAAATCTTTATTGGGACTTTTAACATATTCCTTTGTGAAAGGTAAAGTTTAATAAGTAATATAGATATTTTAGCGTGCAATTATTGAGATTTAACTTACTTGAAGTTCTCTTAATAAAAGAGTAATGTTATTCTCAGTAGCAATTAAAGTCATAATCTCCATCTTCAGATTACGAATAAAGGATGGGTCGGTGGATAAAACAAAAAATTGTTGGAGATGTTGTTCAAAAAGATACTAAAGTGAAATTTAGGTAAAAGAATCAGGTATATGAAACTTTTCTAATTATTTGAAGTTAACAAAATAATATCGCGTTTTTTAAAATTGATTGCAAACCGGCCGTTGAGTTGCCATCGTAGCAATATTCGCCAGTACAACATACTGAATTTCGCGGTGTGTTCTCAACAATCGAACTAACGGTTTACCAAGCTTATAAGCTTCTGCACTAGGTGCTAAATGGTAGTAAATTTTAACAACCGATAATACAACCTTAAAATTCATATAAAGATCCATTAAATTATTGATGCGATAAGATAACAAGATGAATTTCTTTAATGAGTAAATGAACAAGCACCCCACTATTTCTACTTTGAAGGAGGGATGAACAAGAACGTAGCAGAAGTTCATGGTCCGGATCCAAAATATATGTTTTATCATAAAGTTCCTGCGAGCTATCCGAATCTTCGTCAGAATAAAATGCCTTTTTCTTTTTTTGTGCATCTGACCTAGGAGACTATAAGCAATAATTTATTTAGATGAAAATCGAATTACTTTTCTTTGTAAATAATAAAACGTGGGATTTACCTCAGGATTCGGATTCAAGAATTGAGTCCTGCATTTTTTATGAAATTATTACATATGGTATTATCAAGCATTTAATGAATATAATTCACCTAGAAATAATAGTCACTAATTACCTCGCATATCGTAATAAAAGTCCCATAATCACTATTTGTCCCCATTCATCAGCATCCACCAGCATTCGACATAACTTTCGATAATGTGGATGTATTAAATCCAATCGTTCTGGGCAAACTTCATTAAATGCCATTATGACACTTCCAATTGTAAAAGAGGAATTATCATTGAGAAGAGTCGTAATTATTTCGACTAGTGAATCTTTTTGCGTTGGGTCCAAACTAAAAAGAACAAAAAATTATTCTAATTGAAAAACCGAATCCTTATTCAACTTTCGAAATTGGAACTAAAAAGAATGTCAATACCTATAACACTTTGGTATAGCAGTAGCTGCAGTTTTTCTTACGTAAGGTGATAGGTCTGTCATGCATTTTTTAATCGCTAATAATACAATTGGACTGATCACAGGCACACGAATACCAGACATTACCCGAAGTGCCATCGCCCTTATTAATTGATTCTGATCAGTTAGATCTCTTTGAAAAGTGTTAATCGATAATAAAGCCAAATCAGGTTCTTGTTCGGCATAGCGTAATATGTATATATAGACTAGCTTTCGAATTTCAATGTTCTGTGATGCTACATTTTTAACCACGTCTGGGAAAAATTCTGAAACATTACGACCTTTCGATATCATCTTTGATCAATCAATATTTTTGATTTTCCCAAAAAGAATAATAATTTGTTTAATATTAAATATATCAATTCAAATTAAAATCGTGTTGTTCAAAAACTGTCATTATACTTCAACACATACAGCAATCAAACGCTTAAGTCCATCCATTTTTTCGCGATCATGACGAGAATCTAATTGTCTTCTTATATCACGAATTTTCTCTTCAGAAGTCTCAAAATAATGACCTGAAGAGGTGGCTTCAAGTCCGAATTCGCGGGCATTTTCAACTATTCCTTCCGAAACCTTTTTTGACAATTTTGCTGCATTTTGGGCAAAAGCAGCAGCTTTATAAAGATAATCAGACATTCTTTCCGCTTTTGAACGAACACTCGAAATTTGGATAAATTAATCATTAGTCAGATCATTTCTGATTTTGGAAAGTTACACATCGTGTTCAATACCAGTTTTCTTGATTATCTACATTATCTACCATGAATGATCAACATCCGAAATATAGATCGTGAGTTTTTTGCAAACTGGGATTATAACATACTTCAACACTGAAATATGCTTCGTCGTAATCTAACTTGTCTAGAACTTCGTCAAGACGATATTGACAGTATTGAACGACTTCGTGAAGAATACCAAAAGAACCTTGCAACTAAAAGAACTCAAGAAATTGGCAAGGGAAAACGAAAAAGTGTAGAGCTAGAAGGAATGGGTGATGGAATGGATGTCAACGATAGTGTTGAAGTTGATGGCGAATTAATGTTGACTGAAGAACAAAATTTGCAACAGCAGACTTCAAATGTAGCTGAAAGATCCCAAAGTCCAATTGTAGGGTCTGAAATAACAAAAAACAAGAGAAAAAACATGACAATAGCTGAAAGAATTGGTCTTTGAATAATTATTTGCTATAGATAAGATATCTTGCTTGCATTTATAAACATTTGTTAAAAACACATTAAGATTTCTACGTCTACGAGTACGAAAATTTATATTTGTATGATTAATAATTTATTCAAATTCTATCATAACCTCGTCAGCAGCCACGGTATCTCCCGGTTTCACGTTAATCTTTTTTATTTTGCCGACTCGAGCAGCTTTTAATACATTTTGCATTTTCATTGCTTCCACTACTACAAGGTCAGTGCCTTGACTTACCTAAAAAAACAAAAAATGCAAATTAATCAAAATAATCGGAACAAAATAATATTTCTGATTTATTAATTACCTCATCACCGACTTTAACCGCCAAGCTTACTATACTCCCAGGCATAGGAGCTATGATTACTTTAGTCAAGTCTGCTTTAGGTTTCTCGATCATATATTGCGATAATTCATGCTGTCTTTGAGTGTGAATTGTAATATCGAATTTCGTCCCCATGTATTGTAATCGGAAACCAAGCGCTAGAGGATCTACATATTGTATGGTTAATACTTCATTTTTATTCGGAGTTTGAAAATGAGCATGAATTAATGGAGATTCAAGCGGCCAATTTGTGAAGACCGTGGTTGGAGGTTGATCAAGAGTTTGTACCTATAGATCGATAATATGCTTAAAAACATGAAATCGATAGTCAAAAACTTTAAAAATTATTGTCTTCAAGTATATTACCAAATATTCATCTTTATCTTGTAAGCTTTCGTGCTTTCGTTCAATTCGCACAGGTACATCATGAAGATCACCTTCTCCAGTCTTTATTTTAACCCAAAGATCCCAAATGTATGGTGCTTTTCCGCTTAAGGTGCCTTTCAATAAGGCCTCTTTTCCTTCACCCCAACACCAGTTTCTTACATCCCGTTTAGCATGAACTAGAGCAGCTACTGACGCAAGTTGGAAGAGTGATTGTTGACTGAGCACGTGACCTTTGAAACCTTCAGGATATTCCTCTGCGAGGAATTTAGTGGTTATTTTGCCAGATTGGAATCTTTTGCTTCCAATAACCTCGCGTAATAAAGGTATATTATGTGTAACACCTTGGAAATATTTGCATAAATTATTTATGTAGGCGCAACTTGGTAACATTAAAGTATATTAAATATATAATTATACCTTTTATCACGTAAGAATCTAATGCTCTTTTCATAACATCAATTGCTTCATCTCTGGTTTCTCCGTAAGTTGAAAGTTTGCATATTAAAGGGTCATAATATATACTAATTTCACTTCCTTCTACTATACCAGAATCACAACGAACTTCGTTCTTATCAGTAAGACTGACTGGTTCAATATATTTACTCAGACGTCCAATCGACGGTAAATATTTTTGCGGATCTTCAGCATAGACACGTGATTCTATTGCCCATCCGTGCATATTGATGTCTTCTTGTTTGAATGATAATTTCTGATTGGCCGCTACGCGTATCATTTGCTCCACTAAATCCAGTCTAGTTATGTATTCAGTTATTGGGTGTTCGACTTGGAGACGAGTATTCATTTCAAGGAAATAAAAATTTCGCTTAGAATCAACTAAAAACTCTACGGTTCCGGCTGACGAATAATTTACATGTTTTGCTAAAGAAACGGCTTGTTCTCCCATAGCTCTTCGAGTTTTTTCGTCCAAGTGGGTGCTTGGTGCTTCTTCGATAACCTATCAAATATTTAAATGCTCCATAAATATCTAATACATTTGCCGATCTTTTATACTAAATATATATAATTACCTTTTGATTTCGTCTTTGAATTGAACACTCTCTTTCTGGAAGATATACACAATTTCCGTGTTTATCCGCAATAATTTGTATTTCAATATGACGTGGATTATCTACGTATTTCTCGACTAATAATCGATCATCCCCAAAACTTGATTTAGATTCTTGAGTAGCCAGTTTGAAACCTTCTCTGACTTGATCATCATTCCTATTTATATTATTTATTAAAAATAGTATAAACTAAAAATAAAATATGCGCAACTTACCATGCTATTCGCATACCCTTACCACCACCGCCAGCGGATGCTTTAAGCATCACTGGGTATCCGATTTCACGAGCTAACAAACGGAAAATTTAGCATGCAGAAAAGATAAAACCGGCAAAGTTCAAGTTACCTATCGAAAGCGCGTGATCTTCGTTTTTGCAAATTCCATCAAAACCAGGAATTACATTTACGCCGGATTTTCTGGCAATGATTTTACTTTCAATTTTATCACCCATGGCGCCCATTGCATATTCTCCAGGACCAATAAAAGCTACTCCGATCTCATCAAGAGCCTTTACAAAATGTGCATTTTCAGAGAGAAAACCATATCCTAAAAAATCAAGAGAGTTCAAAAGTTATAAATCACCAATAAACAGCTTTTTCAGATGAGTTTGTAAAATGTCTGACCTGGATGAACCGCTTGAGCGCCTGTATTTTTTATGGCACTCAAGATGGCAGGCATATGTAAATAACTTTGATTTGTAGGCGGAGGACCCTAATTATGAACGCGAGAATATATCAAGACGTAATTCTAAAAATGTTCGAATATGATAATCTCATTATGCATACCACATTAACAGCTTCGTCAGCTAATCGAACATGTAGACTACGTGCGTCTGCATCCGAATAGATCGCAACAGTTTTAATGCCCATTTTTTTGGCTGTGCGAATGACACGAACCGCGATTTCACCACGATTTGCGATAAGAATTTTATCAAAGGTCTGCATAATAGATATTTATTAGTAATTTCAGGGCATCTATTTCATTTAAAAATGTTTGAATGCTTAGTGTAAAGGTTTTCTCACTTTTCCATAGTCTTGTTTTACTTGTTGAACATTCACATATAGACTAGTTAACGAGGAATGAAAATCACGAACATAAGAATTAACCGAACGACATATGTATTTAGAATGGTTCTGTTGAATTAATAATAGATTGGCCGCAAAGCGTGTTCCGGAACGGTTTAACGCGTGCATTTGCGTAGCCATTTGGCAATAATAAAAAGCGAATGAATAGCCAAGAGATCACCAAAGCAAACCTGGAAAATAACCAAAAAATCAAACTAACGCGCTTTACACAAAAAGTGAAATAATCGGGCTTCGCATCATACGATGTAATGCCATTATACCATGTGTTACAGATTTTTGAACGTGTTTCAAGTGAGATTTTAACTTGTGTGCGAAAATCATCCCACAGTATTTTACGCATTTTATCCATATTTGGATTGCTCAGATCTTATGTAGATCTCTAATTTTCGTTCTTCGGTCAGCTAATTATCCTCGAATTATTTATGTGAAAGAACTTCGCTTCTGCTTTTCTCTCATTAAGTAGAAATGTCCAAATTCACTTCGTTTACTCGTTCTATGTCGCCTGCGTTCTCGCGTGTTTTACTTCGCGCTCAAATTAAATTTTCCAGTAACTACATTCCTCCTTTAGTTACAAATTCCGTCATTAAGAGATTCGCGTCTGGAAATACAAAAGAAGAAGTAGTTATTAATTTTCTCTTAATTTATTGGCGTTTCTTTACTAAACATGAAGTTAATTTTAACTTGCTCTGCTAGGATGTAATCAATAGAATTCAGCAAAAACGAGCTGATGCACAATTGGGTGGTGGTCTGAAGAGGATAGAAGCTCAGCACAAAAAAGTACTTGTTTTTCTTTTAAATTTGGTTAATTATCATCTCAAAGACCCGAATTGACATTGAGTATTTCAAAGGGAAAATTGACTGCACGGGAACGGATTGATTTATTGTTAGATCCAGGTTCTTTTCATGAATATGATACCTTCGTAGAACATCAATGCCATGACTTTGGCATGGAACAAAATAAGGCAAGTCTTACTCGATTATTAAAGGTGTTCTAATCAAAAGTTAGTTTATTTTCAATAACTTCTGGTGCGATTTAATGAATGAATAGATTACAGGGGATGGTGTGGTCACGGGACATGGAACAATTAATGGTCGACGAGTATTTGTATTTTCTCAAGATTTCACAGCTTTTGGTGGCAGTTTATCAAAAATGCATGCTGCCAAAATCTGTAAAGTTATGGATAAAGCTGTTTTGGTTGGTGCACCGGTTATCGGCTTGAATGATTCTGGCGGTGCTCGTATTCAGGAAGGTGTCGATTCCTTGGCTGGTTATGCTGAAATTTTCAAAAGGAATGTATTATCGTCTGGAGTAGTGCCTCAAATTTCTCTAATAATGGGCCCATGTGCTGGTAATTTTTGTACATATTAGAATTAATGTTATTTTTGACATAATTATTAACAATTATATAAACTTTTTAGGCGGTGCTGTTTACTCTCCCGCTCTCACAGATTTTACCTTCATGGTTCGCGATACATCATATTTATTTGTCACAGGACCGGAAGTTGTAAAGACTGTGTGTAACGAAGAAGTTACACAAGAAGAATTGGGTGGTACAAGAGCACATACAGTCTTATCCGGTGTTGCACATAATGCTTTTGAGAATGATATCGAAGCACTTCAACGGTAATGTACATCATTTTTATTAATGATTGAATTATCTATCATAGATAACCTAAACTATTCGTTATGTTTCTAAATGTAAAAAGTGTGCGTGATTTTGTTGACTTCTTGCCGTTATCAAACCGAGAGAAAGCTCCTGTCCGCTATACGGATGATTCTCCTCATAGGGAAGATCTTTCTTTGAACCATATTATACCCGTTGATTCAACAAAAGCATATGATATCCGTGATGTTATATCTCGACTCATTGATGATGGCATCTTTTTTGAGATTATGCCAGATTTTGCGAAAAACATCGTGATCGGATTTGCAAGAATGGGTGGTCAAACTGTTTCTATTGTTGGCAATCAACCTTTAGTGTCCTCTGGTGTTTTAGATATCAATTCTTCGATCAAAGCGGCTCGATGGGTCAGATTCTGTGACGCATTCAATATTCCCATTATCACACTTGTTGATGTACCAGGTTTTCTTCCTGGAACAGCACAAGAACATAATGGTATCATACGACATGGCGCAAAACTCTTATTTGCTTATGCTGAAGTACGAAAATATTAGCGTAATAACCACATTGTTAATATAGATAATTTGATTCTACTTTCTTTAAAATTTTCAGGCCACCGTCCCTAGAATCACCATCATTACAAGAAAAGCATATGGCGGTGCTTACGACGTAATGTCTAGCAAGCACCTTCGTGGTGATGTATGTATTACACTGTTTATATTATTAAGATCCATAGCAGATTCAAGTTATTTTAAATTTTTCCTTAGATAAATTATGCATGGCCAACTAGTGAAATTGCTGTAATGGGAGCAAAGGTAAGAATCAACATCAAAAAAATTTCTTTGGCATAATTTGCGTAAACTTATTATTATATTGATTGCTAGGGCGCTGTTGAAATTATATTTCGTCACGCGAAAGATCGTAGTCAAGCAGAACAGGAGTATATCGGTAATTTTAAACTTAGTTATCAGCTATCTTTCCTAACTCATTTTTTCAATGTATTTTTAATTCCTAACTCACTTTTCCATAGTCTTGTTTTACTTGTTGAACATTCACATATAGACTAGTTAACGAGGAATGAAAATCACGAAC